GTGGTTTACACATACCACAAACAAGCAAAATAATTAGAGATCAGTATGTGTTGAATGCAGAAACCACGGTAAATACCGATAGTTTCTGGGCCTCGGAGAAAACATTGGGAAACATAAGACTGTGGATGAACAGATGGCAAGAAGGCTCGGGTGGATCATGGGGGGGTATATATATGTGTGTGTGTGTGTATATACTTACTTATATTTATACGCACATACATAGAAAAATATATATGTGCATGTGTGTGTATGCATGTCATGTAGAGTACGATGTGTATATTCATGTATTCAGTATATACAGATACAGACGACCCATGGTCTGAACATACTTTCAAAAAACGTATCGTGTCACATATGCTAGCTGCTATAATTAGTTTGGCTTGAGTGTTGTGAAATGTATAATATAATATGTTCATATACATATATTATATACAGGATGTACTATGCATAAAGTCCATACAGTACGTAGAAAAAATATTTATGCACACGCACACTACAAAGCATGGAAACCGTTGAGTGTATTAGCACACCTAATATTCATAGTACTTTCAGCATATACATGTTGACAGCATCTGTGGTGTACATTTTGTGTTTACAATGTATGCACAAAGAAATATATGCAGATTTAATTATATATATATACATACATACAAATAGTGGGAGAGAGAGGGAGAGTTTGTTCTGCGATGTACGGTTTGTATAATGTAAACAAACAACTATTAAGTGCATACAGACATTCATATAATCCACATACTACTGCGTTAAATGTGCCCGCAGCAACGAAGCCCGCACCGATGAAGACGTGAGCATCACGATCACGTACAGCTTGCATCTCATGGGGGAAGGACGATTCCACGCAGCACCAGAGCACAAAAATAAGCGCTATCGGATTAGCCCTTGTGTCAAACCGAGAATGATGCATTGCGAAGATTTGATTTTGCTGCTGCTGCTTGCTGCTGCTGCCGCAGCCGCTGCCGCAGCCGCTGCCACTGCCGCAGCCGCTGCCGCTGCGGCGGCCGCTGCGGCGGCTGCTGCTGGTGCTGCTGCTGCTGCTGCTGATGCTGATGCTGATGCTGATGATGTTGCTGTTGTTCTTGCCCTTCTCGCTCTTGTTGCTATTCTTGTTGGTCATGTTGCGCTTGTCATCCTTGGTGTTCTCGTTTTTTCTTGGTGTTGTTGTTGATGATGGTGCTGATGCTGCCTGTGTTGTTGTGGTTGCTGTGAAGCTCGTGAGGTGGTGGTGGTGGTGGTGCTGCTGCTGCTGCTGCTGCTGCTGCTATTCGTGCTCGTGTTTCGCTGTTCATCGGCACTACGTGGAATGCCACCATTTCCTTGGTAGCATTTGTGCTTAGGTGGCTCTTCACATTACAGCGACCACTACTCACTACTCATACTCATAGTCTTTTGCGCCAGTGTAACAATATTGGGGAACCATCTCAACGGCTTCTGGTTTTCATCCGTCATCCCGAGGAAGGATGATGTGGGTGCTGGCCTCGAGATGGAGGCGACCGAGTATCTAGGCCTTCATAGTTTTCGTTCAGATGCTTTCTCGGTCGCCAAGAAATCCCAAATCCCCAGTGCCTTTTTGCAGACCATCACATGACCCAGTGAAAGCACAGAATAGCATACTCTGTAATAAAGAGACGTTAGTCTCTCTCGACCCGCTTCCGAAGATGTCCTAAACCCAGGTACGGCTACCAGGTGGATACCATCCTACCCAATCCGGGCCAGGCCGTGTATTGGCGACACATGTCCATTTGTGACCTGATAAGCACGCAGACACTGGTGTCAACCTTCGTTGTACATATGGTAAATCGTCCGAGAATTCTCCTGGGGCCTGAATCCTAGGCAAGTCTTGACAGTTGGAGGACCCGTCTCTGAAGTCGGGGGACACGATCGTGGCTATCGAAGGAGAACGATTGCTTGGCCTTGCAGAGGACGCGGGTTTTGTGGGTCTGAGGGTTCTGTGAGCTCCTCGCGGTTTCTCCGGCTAGGGTGTTTTTGAAGTGAAATTGTCAACGTGCGCATGGTCGGAATCCGCAAACATCCACCAAGAAGTCTCCCCAAGGATGTGTTGAGTTGGCCGATTTTGTGGAAGCTTACGGGGTTGCCTTGCTTGCTGGCTTTTCTATTTCAAAGATGCACAGGGAGAGCCGAGTTCCCGCGGTAGCAGCTAACAAGCCACACGCTCCCGAGCCTCTTCTAGATGAACCAACTACTGTAGAACGGCGTAGATGCTTTCGAATCTCCGCCGTCCAATGGTACAATGATCGAGGAAGACATTGACCAAGTGTTCGGAGTTCACTTTCGTCACGGTGCGGCACTACTGCTGCTCAGTTCGGAGGCCATGCAGGGGTGCAGCACGTCGCAAGTTTGCATCATCAGTGTCTTCGTCTTGATTCAGCCGTATGCAGTGCCCACGTGGGCTCCGGGTCTAGAAGCCGAAGCCGGTGTTTGGAGGTAGGGTGCCATGTGCTCGCCCCTCCAACTTGTTCAGAATCGTTCGGCCCTTGCTAAAGGAACTGCGGAATGCTGCTCAGAGCAAGGGGCAGATGGAGGACCCTCGGCAGCACTCCAAGCTACTTTCTTTCGAGGCGGATGTCTTGGAGGCTTCAGGTTCAAGGCGTTACTGCTGCTCACGCGTGGGGTTGCCGAGTCGGACAAGAGGAAGAGCGACATGGAACACGAGGCGCCTCGAATGCAGGGTAAATGCTGAGAGCTACCAAGGGAAGGTGTTCAGAGGATGCAGCATCAGACACCTGGAAATTTACAGATGCCGCATTGGGTCTCTGGTATTTGTGACATTGGACCCGGGTCGTGGTTGGACATATCAGCTCCCCTGAAATTTGAAATGTGTCGAATGCTTCGCTGCTTCGTGTTCAGGCACACCCGGCATTCATCCTTGGCTAATACAGCGCGAATGTTGCCGTTGTATGTTGGTTAAAGGTTTACTACTTTACTGAGTTTACTGTGATAAGGAGCATGAGCTTGTGCTGGTTTTGGCGCCGCTGCATCCAAAATGAGCTCAAGTCCGTTCCGAGACTCAAAAGCTCAGAAAAAACCTTGGGGAAGTCTTTGCAGGCCACGGTGCGTATTCCTGTCGGCCGCGCCACGGCCTGGCAGCTGGACGAAGCCACGGCAGCAAACGCTTCTTGGTCGCGACATGTCAGTTCTTCCGAGTGACCGAACACATCTGAAGTTTTCCAGGTTCACACTGTAAGGAGGTGGGACATGGCAGGACCAAATAACACCCCTCTTTCAAGCTTCGCAGCAGCACACACGGTGTCCGGCATCATCAGAGCAGGGTGCAACACATTGATACCCAGCTCCTGGACACTATCAAATTCGAGTCCAATTCCAATCCAAGTCTGGCTCCACTTTGTTTGACAGCCCTTCGTTTTCCCTGAAACATGAAATTCGCTTGAAATTTGTATTTGTCATTTCGGACCGCGATTTCATTTTGGACTCCTGTCTGTTTCGCTCGCCCTTTCCCTGCCTTTTGAGACCCATACGTGTCTGGGGGCAGGATGAAAGTGGCTTGCAACTCTCGAAGAGGTGCAGGCTCAGAGTCGGAGAGCCCCTTAGCCGCCCTTAGCCCCCTTCGCTTCTCTACCAAGTAGCGAGGGCCTCCTGTCCCGCGTCGCTCAGATTCCCTCTAGATTGAGATCTACCAAACCAGCGCCACGTGTTTGGTCGCTGCTTGCAAAGCCGTGATGCCTGTTACTTCCTGGTCCATGTAGCCTCCCGTCTTAGGGCCTTGCGGCCCGAGCCTGATTTTCGAAATCTTTCCAGTCCAAGCTCCCTCCTTCACTTCCCAAAAGCCACAGCACAACAGTTGTCTCCAAGCCCTGCCTGCGGTTCCATGGGCTTCGCCGCAAGACGAAGGTTCCGAGGTCAGACAGTAGAGACAAATGCCAGAAAGGAAGGTACAAGGGTAAGCAGCGGTTACCTGCCACCTTGCCTGTAGCAGGTATCCAACGACTTGGCTATCGTGAGTGAGAAGTTTGGGCTCGCTGCCCGAGCTCACTTCGGTGACCATGGCTGCTTGGATGAGAGCCACTACCACACGATCATTCGCCCTATAGTAGCCCAAGCACATAAGCACATGCCCATAACCGGCGGTTATACCCGTTGCAGACACCCACAATCAGATGCACGATTGAAGCCTGGCTAGGGTGGTGAGCGACCCAGTGGACCGGTGGAGGCATCGGCAAACTACACAAGCCGCTGAAGGCTCAGGGCTCGATAAGTCCGCAGCTTGGGCCGCAGGCTCTCGGCAAACGCCTCAAGGCTTACATTGCAAGACTGCACTCGAGCAGAATCATTCGGGAACGGTGCACGGAAAGCAGCTGCCAGCTTGCAGAGCACTGGAAGCATCTGGAAGCCGCGATTAGTTTTGGCAGGAAACTCGCAATGCGATACGACAAGTTGCTTGTCCCCGGACATGAGAAATCCGATCTACATCTCCCTTTGCTTGCATCTGCAAGTCATAGCCGGAAGGTTCTGCAACACACTCAATTAATCAACCTCCCAACCCAACTCCATTGAACCGCAAAGAACAGGAGAAGCCACTCCCTCTTGCCGCATTATGCTTACTTTGGCCGACCTGTAAGGCATGGAAAGCGTTATACTGACGGGTTTCCCCAGTGCCATCGCCCAAGCGCGACCGGAGGTCGTTGGCTCCTTGGCGATTCCAGGGATGTTGGCTACGTATTGCTATTTAGGTGGATGTGAAGATGTGACAGCACGCAATCAATAGGCATGCAGGCCACCTATTGCCGCACGGGATCAGCCATCTCATGCAAGTCACTTCCAGCATTGAGGCATAGCTGAGGACATCAGCACAGGCTGCAAACAAAGCGCGGACATGCAGAACGAGGAAGAGCCGCTAGGAGCAACATACTTCCGCAGCAACAGTCCACGATTCTGAGTCCTTGGCTCCAAGACCACAACAGCTAGCCGAGGGAATGCATTCGTCGCCACACAACGCAACACTCTTGGAAATGAGTTTGGCAGTGAATGTCACAGTTGTTGCTAGCATAGCTAACTTGAAGCTGTGCACCAGGAAAATCAGCGCAAGAAAGCACAGCACCGATTACAGACAAGTGCAACACTTCAGGAGCTAGACTTCTCGGACCAGATCCGTTTGATCGAATGGCTCTGATGGCTAATGCTCGGTTGTGATCTTAGAAGATGGCCCATGTTTCTGTATGTTGTGCACGCCCACCATTTTTGCAATGATACGGATGATCATCGTCGTAAGCATGGACGTCGAGGCATCCTTTCTTTCTACCGCGACGGGCAGCTCCACAAAGCCAGCGAGGCGCCAGTGGAGGCAGCGGCTGGGCCGGCACCGATCACGCCGATGGACGGGCAGGACGGGGCGATGATGACAATCTGCAGACACTTCGGACCCCACTTTACTCTGCAAGCAGCCAAGAGGCAAATAATGGCACATTCAGTTCTGAGAGTAGTTGCAGGCTCAAGGTAAACCAAGTGGTGTGTGAATCGCTTTGGGGCACGAGGCAGACAGTTGTATTGGTTCCCCAAAAATCAGATGCCCGCGGGCGGGGAGAGAGAGGGACGGAGGGAGGGAGAGCGGTGCCCAGTTTTGAGTTACAGTTGCCATTGTTTGAGCAGCGCACACTGGTGACCAATGGGCCAATGCCTGCGCCGAGAGACACGACTGTCCAAGGGAGTGAAACATGAACCGGGAGGGGCCAATTGCGCCGATACAGACAGGACTTGTTGCTCACGACGGTGTGATTTTCCTTGTCCATGCTCTGCAAAAATAATCTGTAGAAGAAGTAGAAGGAGGAGGAGAGAGAGCGAGTTTCACGAAAGTCCTTAACCCTGCAGAAAGAAAGCCAGAGAGCGAGACTGAGGTACTACTCCGCAGACTTGTGGTACAGACAAGGACTTCAGGGCCCCAGTACGGGCACAACAGTCAACAACAAACTGGCCCCAACCAGGCTGATCGAAAACACCGCAAGGGGATTCTTGTTCATGGGGGCTTGCACTTAATCTGTCACATGAGGGCTTACACTTTATTAGCCTGTCAACACAACACTTGCACCAGGGGCATTACAAGAAGAGCAGTAGCACACAGGGCGAGGCAAACAGGGGGAGGAGTGTTTTGGGACCTGCTTAGCATGATGGATGTTTGACTTGCTGTTGTTGTTGCTTTTCACTCCTCCCCCCGATTGCTTCAGCTCTCTCCACTCCAAAATGGGGGCGCGGACGCGCAGGGGAACTGGGAAACCCTTTCCTCCAACCTGCAGAGAGAGAGAGAGAGAGAAGACTCGCACTGGTGAAAGAAGGAGAGATGGAGAGCTTGTGGGCCCCTTATGTGCTGGAATGCATATGTTTTGCTAAGGGTTGCTACACATTTGCCGAGGTGTGTAATCTGGGGTGCTTCGCGTCTACGGGGGCCGGAGCTAGGTCTCGGTGTTGCTACTTCCGGACACACTCATCCGTCACTTTAGAGACACTAACACCAACTGTTGAGTCGCGAAGATGGCAGGCAAACAAGTGAGTCTGATCCAAAGAAGGTTAAACACCATTCATTCAGACTGTCACTCATTCAGGTGTTCGGGCCTTAGGCTGGCGGTGATGGCACATAGATCTTCATGGCAATAGATTGTACATCGTTCTTTCAAGTAGGGCAGTCTTCTCTGCTTACTATGAGTTTGTGCGCATCAATCGGTGTTTCTCTTGCTTCCTGCTTTTGTTCAAACAGATCCCCGCACCCTGTCCATGTAAAGACACACGTGCAAGGAACGAAGGTACAGATTTCCTGGAAGTTGCAGGGCTTCCTTTGCACCGAATAGCTGGGGTCCAGGCACACTTACTTGTAAGTTGAGCTTGTTTGCCTAATATTGTGTGCGTGTGTGTGTGTGTGGTGGGTGTGTGTGTGTATGTATGTATGTATGTCTGTCTGTCTGTCCGTCCGTCCGTCCGTCCGTCCGTCCGTCCGTCCGTCCGTCCGCCCGTCCGCCGTCCGTCCGTCCGTCCGTCCGTCCGTCCGTTTGTCTGTCTGTCTGTCTGTCTGTCTGTCTGTCTGTCTGTCTGTCTGTCTGTCTCTACCTATCCATCCAACAGGCTAAGTACACATCTTTACCTTCCCGTCTTTCAAGCTCTGCTTCCACGTGTGAGCC